TTCCCTTATAAATATCATAGTATAGCATCATGATTGTTTATCAGTCTTGGAATCACAGCCGCGTTTACTTCATGATGTTATCTATGATGGAAATGTTGCCAGCTTTCACAGATAAAGAAGAAAAAACTGTGTTGCCAGAATGAAAAATACTTTTTGTGAAAGCTGTCAACAATCCCAGTAGCAATTAAAAGTCGTGAAATATTCTAATAATACTAGAATCAGTCTTAAATGTTTCATTGAGCATTAATTATTTACTTTCCCACGACTTTTATTTACCAAAATATTCTAAAACCCAAATCTGATAATTACCAGATCTGAATTTGTATTGTACCCGATTCCGTTAAATAACGATGTACCTACCAATATCGTTAAATAACTGAATATTGTGTGTACCCTGACATATTCCCAAATCACACATTTATTTGACACACGATTAAACCCACAAATCATGTGACAAATAAAACATAGACCCCGCAACCTGAACAACATTTTAAAAGCTTTGTTACTTTTAAAATATTATAAAAGGCTTTGTGTGTAAACATAAACCCCGTATAGGACAAACAAAATATATTTTTAAAAATATTTGAGCAAAGATTTGAGCTTTTAGTAAAATGTAGTTATTCTAAAATCGAAGTTTCATAGATTTGTTTGTCCTTATAATCAGATGGGCGTGGCTAGGATTGATTTAATTTCTATGTTTCTATTAATTAATACTACAGGTAGTCGTTTCAAACACACTTAACTGCTTAAAACTAATTGCAATACAAAGTTCTATTAAACTTAGTTTTTGTTATGAACTTATCAGGCTTTCAATATTCAGTCATTTTAAAATGACTTGTTCGTTTTCAAAAATATTTTTGTAAACTCGTGATTAATAATTAATATCTTTGAGTTTAATAAGATTCAGAATATGTATTCGGATTCACTAATTTAAAATAGTGTGCACCCGGGTAATTTTGGTTATCAAAATTACCCGGAAGAGCAAGCTCATACTAAAAGATCCCATTCTAAATTCAAATAAGGATCATAAAAACAAATGCAGTCTCCAAAAAAAAGTTTAAACTTCATTTAAAAACATATCATTCCAAAATTAAATTCAAATCTCCGATCTAAATTCAAACATCTCTAGCCACGCCCACCGCCTACGTGCGTGCGTGTGTGTGCGCGCGTGTGCGGCGCGAGCATACCTGCGTCTGCAGCCTCGTGAGGCCCCGGATCCACAGGATCTGGCCGGCGCGCGGCTTCTTGTCCAGGTCCGCGTCGTAGTCCGGCCCCGGCTGGATCGTCTCGGGGTCCGGCTGGCCGCGGCCCCAACTGGAAATGGGCGGCCAGAGTGTGATATAAGGGTTTTTATTTGCAAAAGGCTAAAGCCTGGTCCGTGAGCACGTAGAATCCCGTCCAATGACCCCAAGCTAGCCATCCCTATCGCTCGCGCGTTATTATGTTGCTGTCGCGACTGTGCGACGGGCGCCCGCAGTGAGTGTGCGAGCGCGACAGCAACATACTTACGAGCGATAGGGATGGGTAGCTTGGGGTCATTGGACGGGATTCTACGTGCTCACGGACCGGGCTTTAGTTTCAAACATATTGAAAGATTTTAAAGTGTCGTAGTCCGGCCCCGGCTGGATCGTCTCGGGGTCCGGCTGGCCGCGGCCCCAACTGGAAATGGGCGGCCAGAGTGTTTTATATGGGGTTTTTTATGGCTATGCTATGCCTCTTGCCAGTGGAAACGGGAATATAAGAAAAATTACCTAACTAAGAGGTTTTCATAATTACGAGTATATCACCTGCTCACGAATTACCTATTTCATGTGAAGTTAACTCAACTTGAATTAGATATTATGTAGGTTTGACATACAGGGTGTTAGGTAAATGGGTATATGAGCCGACACTAGCCCATGTTAACATATTATGCATATAAATGGTACGGTGAAGTCAGAAATTTGATATCATCATAAATTTTTTAAATGTTCATACAAAATAAAATTTACAAAATCAGATTTGTATGAAAATAATTAAAAATTAAAATAATTAAAATGATGATATATCAATTTTCTGACTTCACCATACCATTTATATGCAATGTTAACATGGGCTAGTGTCGGCTCATATACCCATTTACCTAACACCCTGTATTACGTCATCTAACAAATAAAGATTGCTGGAGATTTATTCGAGACTTGTTACACCAAGTTGCAGTTTATCTGTCAGATAAGTTCCTTATAATTTGTCAGGGACTTCATTATTATAAGCAAATGGTTTAAAAGAGAGAAAGACACCAAAACTAGCAGTTTACCTGCCAGATAAGTTCCTGATAAACTATCAGGCACTTATCAGCCACTTGTAAGTTACTCACGTGAGTGTCTTGGGTATCTTGCGCGTGGGCACCGTGGTGACGAGCTGCCCCCACACGAGCGTGCCAGCGCCAAAGAACAGGCACCACAGCCACTGGTCTATCGAGAGGCCGGCCGTGCTGAACGCCATGCCGCCGAACTGGACTATTACCACCTGGAAAATAAGTTGTGGATAAATATACAGCATCTATCCGATTATTTCATTTTGGACCCTAAGACAAGACGATAAGGTTCAAAATAATGTTTTGGCGCAGAAGAACAAGCATCACAGCCACTGGTCTATCGAGAGGCCGGCCGTGCTGAATGCCATGCCGCCGAACTGGACTATTACCACCTGGAAGATAAGTTGTGGATAAATATACCGATCAAGTTTGATGCGATTGATTTTGGACTCTAAGACAAGATGATATGGTTCAACATAATGTTTTGCCGCAGACTCATAGGCACCACAGCCCCTGGTCTATCGAGAGGCCGGCCGTGGACTATTACCACCTGGAAGGTAAAGTTTAATTGATTTTGGATCTTAAGACAAGACAATAAGGTTGTCGATGAAGAACAGGCATCATAGACACTGCCATGCCACTGAACTGGACTATTACCACCTGGAAGATAAGTTGTGGATAAATATACCGATCAAGTTTGATGCGATTGATTTTGGACTAACGTTAAGGTTTTTTTTTTTTTTATCCACAACGAGGAAGNTCAAGTTTGATGCGATTGATTTTGGACTCTAAGACAAGATGATATGGTTCAACATAATGTTTTGCCGCAGACTCATAGGCACCACAGCCCCTGGTCTATCGAGAGGCCGGCCGTGGACTATTACCACCTGGAAGGTAAAGTTTAATTGATTTTGGATCTTAAGACAAGACAATAAGGTTGTCGATGAAGAACAGGCATCATAGACACTGCCATGCCACTGAACTGGACTATTACCACCTGGAAGATAAGTTGTGGATAAATATACCGATCAAGTTTGATGCGATTGATTTTGGACTAACGTTAAGGTTTTTTTTTTTTTTATCCACAACGAGGAAGCTCTTGGCCTGTATCTCACCTGATGGTAAGTGACGATCAGGCCGAAGGTGGAAGCGAGCTTCACCCGGAATCCTCAACCACGGAGGAACTGGCTATCTTATCTCTAACTGCCGGAACACAACAATGCTGTTAACATTGTTGTTATGGCGACAGACTTAGGTAAGATGGTGGTAGCTAGCCAGGCGGGCTTAGAACAAGCCCTACCACCAACCAAACCGAACAGAAAAATCTGCCCCCACTGGGAATCGAACCCGGGACCTCTGCGTCTGAAGCAGGTGGTCTTACCACTAGACCACAGAGGCGGTTAAAAATAGTGTTTTGCCGCAGACTCATAGATACCACAGCCCCTGGTCTATCGAAAGCCAGGCCGTGCTGAACGCCATGCCGCCGAACTGGACTATTACCACCTGGAAGGTAAAGTTTAATTGATTTTGGACCTTAATGCGAGAGGATAAGGTGCCACTGGTAGCCTCCTATCTACCTCGACTTCTAGAAAATAATATCTTGATGTTAGGTAAGTTGTTCAACTTTAAGTGAAGTCCTCTGTACTTATGTCTTAGTTAATCGCAGATGAAATAAGGTTCAAAATCAACGAAAAAATTGGTGGTACGATATTTTCCTTTATTGCACTCACCAGATGCCGCCACAGGCGAATAAGATTCTGTCACCTGCTTGTAGCTAAGACAATGGTGCCAACGGGTGTACGTTGAAGCTATAGGGGGACTATAGCATTAAAATTTGCAATTGTTTGGCGCCACTGAGTAAGATCCTATCCCTGCGTCAACTGGTGAACGCAATTAATCAAAATCAAAAATATTTATTCAGTTTAGACCACAAGTGGCACTTATTAGAAAACCTATGTATGTATAATATACAGTAAAATAAAACATTCCACATACCTGCGAAAGCGCAGTGCCGATCCATATAGAGTAGAATATCGGATTAGTGAACAGTCCCTGGAAAACGTTCCTCTGGCCGTGGATCTTGCGCGCGTTGATCTCGTTGAAAAGCGTCATCATGACGAAGGTGTTGAAGATGATGGTGAAGTGTTGCGTCGGCTCCGTGCCCAGCTGCTGTCCGCGGCCTGACGGGATGTTGAGCAGTCTGTCGCCTGTGGAAGAGTCATCATCATCATCATCATCATCAGGGCACCAGTAGACCTATTACAAAAGACTTTCGAGTTCGTATCGTTGAACAGTTACACTAATAGTTTATAGATGACCCACACTGAACTGTCCTACCAAACTCAAAGACAGGGGGCGCTACCATCGTTCAACTATATGGTTTCCAACATGGCAAAAATCGGAACCAGCGATCCGGTATTGACGGTGGCGCCCCACTGTCAATGTCATGGATAGGACAGTTCAGTATTTAGGAACTATACACTGCTTGCGTAGTACTAAAGATTATTCGAACGTTGAACTGCGCACACAGTGTTTTTGTACGTACGTCGGACATTACTTGCAACCTGGTATGCGAACGAATAGTAGCACTGAATGCAATACGTACATGACACTCTTCGCGACGTATTGTTTTTATTTTGATTACTTTGTGTGTGAAAATTTCTAATGCGACACTAAGTTCCGAACTCGGCGCATTATTTAAATAAATAAATAATACAAAATCGTTTATTGCAAAAAAGGAATTAGTTGGCATCTTTCTAGATATCTATGGGAGAGTTCTCAAACTACTTATCGCTATCGACTTGCTCACCTACAAACAGCAGCGAGAAAATGATGAACAGCTGATACAGCGCCTGGCCGAGGATGTTCTTCATCATGGTACAGATTCGGCACCTCAGTCGTTAGAGCTTACGACGCTAGTGTGTCCATGACCAGGTCACCCATAACTAATGCTCACCCACAAACAGCAGCGAGAAAATGATGAACAGCTGGTATAGCACTTGCCCGAGGAACTAAATCACGGTCCAGGGTCGGCACCTCAGTCGCTAGAGCCAATGACGCTATTTCAGGTCAGGTCAGCCTTAACCAACCAATGCTCACCCACAAACAGCAGCGAGAAGATGATGAACAGCTGGTACAGCACTTGCCTGAGGATCTAAATCACGGTCCAGGGTCGGCACCTCAGTTGCTAGAGCCAGCGAGGCTAATGTGTCTNCTAAATCACGGTCCAGGGTCGGCACCTCAGTCGCTAGAGCCAATGACGCTATTTCAGGTCAGGTCAGCCTTAACCAACCAATGCTCACCCACAAACAGCAGCGAGAAGATGATGAACAGCTGGTACAGCACTTGCCTGAGGATCTAAATCACGGTCCAGGGTCGGCACCTCAGTTGCTAGAGCCAGCGAGGCTAATGTGTCTATGACCAGGTCACCCATAACCAATGCTCACCCACAAACAGCAGCGAGAAGATGATGAACAGCTGGTACAGCGCTTGCCCAAGGATCTTCTTCATCATGGTACGGATTCGGCACCTCAGTCGCTAGAGCCAATGACGCTAGCGTGTCCATGACCAGGTCACCCATAACCAATGCTCACCCACAAACAGCAGCGAGAAGATGATGAACAGCTGGTACAGCGCCTGCCCAAGGATCTTCTTCATCACGATCCGGACCGGCATCGGTCGCTAGAGCCAATGACGCTAGCATTTCAGGTTTGCCCGAGGATCTAAATCACGGTCCAGGGTCGGCACCTCAGTCGCTAAAGTCAATGACGGTATTTCAGGTCAGGTCAGCCTTAATCAAGCAATGCTCACCCACAAACAGCAATGAGAAGATGATGAACAGCTGGTACAGCGCTTGCCCAAGGATCTTTTTCATCACGTTCTGGGGCCGGTCAGGTCACTTCAGGTCAGGTCACACATAACCAATGCTCACCCACTAGCATTACAGGTCAGGTCAGCCTTAATCAACCAATGCTCACCCACTAGCATTTCAGGTCAGGTCAGCCTTAACCAACCAATGCTCACCCACAAACAGCAGCGAGAAGATGATGAACAGCTGGTACAGCGCTTGTCCAAGGATGTTCTTCATCATGGTACGCGAGATGAGCGGCTTGGTGCGCCCGTAAGGCTTCCGCTGCAGCAGGTCCGGCGTCGGCATTTCGGTCGCTAGAGCCAGCGAGGCTAATGTGTCCATGATCAGGTTCACCCATAACATTTGTACCGCCTGTGGAGAGGTTATGATTGTAAAGCCTGGTCCGTGAGCACGTAGAATTTTGTCCAATGACCCCAAGCTACCCATCCTTATTAGCGAGCGATAAGGATGGGTAACTTGGGGTCATTGGACAAAATTCTACGTGCTCACGGACCAGGCTTTAGAACAAATTATATTGGAGACAAGAAACGTTTTGGAAATGAATGTCTGTTGCAACTTCAAGAAAAGCTACTGGACTCTATTGTTACAGCAACAGCACTCTATCACAAGTCGCTGTATGGTGTTAAGTGGAAACAACAGGACACAAAAGTGTCTACGTTTACGCAATTTCTAAGGGCGCATTGCCTAATTCATATCCGAATATTGAGGGTAATGGCTAATTATTTCCAAGTGGTTGTTGTTCTGTGCTATTGTTTTAACTCCCAATTACTTGGGTCTCTAGGCGTACCTTGTTTACAATATGGGACTTATCCCACCACTTCTGTTTAGTCAGGATGGCTTATCCTCTAATGAAAATCAACCAATGAAGTTTAGAGTAGTCCGGCGGGAAAGCATACTGTCTTGGAACCCGCAAAGAATTTAATCAGAAAACAAGGAGTTCGAAACAAAATATCGACTTCCCACCGTCACAAAATGGGAGAGTCCTGATAAAGTCTTATATTTCAATTAAATTAAAAAAAGCTTCAATAAATAGAAGAATACGCTACCTTTAGAGGACTGTCCTGTATCGCGCAAGCGCCAATGAAGGCCACGATCACAGCCACGACGTTAACTGTCAGCTGGAACTGCAGGAACTTGGCGATGGAATCGTAAACGTTGCGGCCCCACATCACAGCCTTCACGATCGATGAGAAGTTGTCGTCGGTTAGGATGATGTCGGACGCCTCTTTGGCCACGTCGGTACCGGCGATACCCTAGGGGATAGATTGAATTAATGGCGAAAACTTTGATAGATATGGCAACCACATCGTTGGTCGTCAACCCACAAGGCGGACGGACGATAAAGGTAGCAGGAAAGCGCTGGTTGCCAACCAGTCAATCTGTAAATCATTGGGATCATTCATTGCCTATAAATTGGGAGAGGCCTATGTTCAGCAGTGGACGACCTGTGGCTAATATGATGATGATGACAATGACAGATATTGCAAACGCAGCGTGGGTCATCTGCCCACAAGGTGGACAGACGACCTCATAAAGGTAGCAGGAAAGTGCTACCAACCGGCCAATCTGGAAATCATTACGGGAGACCTATGGTGCAGCAGTGGACGTCCACGACAGTGGCTAAGATGATGATATCATGATGATTAGACTATGATGGAAAGAAAGAAAAGTGGCCAATAGAACGTCACACAAATACATCATCTGTACCTCTAGTAGGAAAAACTTTCGAGTTCGTTTCGTTGCGTATTCAAAGTGTCATCGAAAAATTTTGTATGAAAAATTAAACAGCGCCCCCTATATTATAGCCGCCCTAGGGGGCGCTGTTTAATTTTTCATACAAAATTTTTCGATGACACTTTGAATACGCAACGAAACGAACTCGAAAGTTTTTCGTACTAGAGGTACAGGTCATTTGGTTTCCATTGCATAAGAGGGTCATGTCCCCTTATATTTACGAGAAGCAAATGGAGGACTTTATCTACACCTTTCATACTAGCTAATTGGCGAGGCCTCTTAGTCGCCATTTACAATATCCACGAGAAAAATGGGGGTGATCCTTCTAACTACGACAATCTACACCTTAAGTCTAAGCCAATAAAACTCCATATCCCTTACCATAGCGAATCCCACGTCGGCCTTCTTCAACGCCGGCCCATCGTTGGTCCCGTCCCCAGTTACCGCCACCACCTCGCGCGTATCGAATGCCTTCGACTCGATCATGCCTTTGACCAGTGTGTATTTGTCTGTGGGCGACGACCGCGCTAGCACGCGCAGCTTCGGCCATACTTTGTCTAGCAGATGCTGTTGAACCTGTGAATGGAAGGAGTTAGTGTTTATTGTTGTCGATAGATGGCATTGTTTTGGGAATGATTGAGTTTGCTGCGGCGCTTTTTCTCAGCACTTGCCAAATGTTTGTCTCGAAGCGCTGGCAGGGCAAAAAAGAATGAGACATCTATAGGCTCTTTATGAGCATTTGACGATTTGTAAGTACTAATTTAATTAGTCTACATGAATAAAGATAATTTTGATTTTGTGTTTGATGGCAGTATCATCAACAGCATGCTGCAATTAAAGTTCAAAGCGCAATAAGAGATGGATGGCATTGTTCTTAGCCATCATCATTACATAATGCTGTAGCAAATGGCTTACAAAATGGTGCCATACGCTACCAAGAGATGGCGCTGTGTGTATTTTAAATCTCGGTGGCGAAATCAGTTTCTAAAATGTTCACTATTTCTACCCATTTAAAGCTGAAAGAGTATCCAAATCAAAAAAGTCCATAGACTGTCAAGTCATTTCCCATGGGACAGGATAAATTTGTAGTATTTCCCGCCTTAGGCAATTCGATTTTTTTCAGATTATTTTGAATTTAGTTTGAGATGCCACTGTTGACAGTAAATAAATATTTAATAACTTTGTATTATAGGTACAAATGGAAAGTAATAATTACTTAATTATGTAGTTTAAAGAAGTTTATTTTCAATGACCAGATATCCGGTGTTTAAGTAGCTTTAAAGTAATGTTTGTAGATATTATTATTGTTATTATTTTCTGCCTGCTTCACACACACTCACACTAATACACTCATAGTACACAACACGCTCACATGCTCACCTAAGAGAGAAAAGTCTAGGTATTTTTTAAGCAATAAAGAGTAGATTTTATTTCATATTGTTAAGTGTTACATTTTTATGTAAAAGTTTATTAATGTTTATGGTGAAATGCCAATGTTTATTGCGTCCCTGGTGACGCTCTTTTCAAAATGGTTCCTACAGAATACCAGCATCATGTTCTTTACGGAATATGATACAAGCTGAGTAGGAGCCATTTTGGTTCAACAATTTATCTATAATTATCAACCAAATTGTGTAACATTACTATGTTTGAACCAAATAAACAATTTTCTTTCTTTCTTTCTTTCAAAAATTTTACTTAACCATGTTATGAGAACATATTAAGTATAATTATATTAAATTCTCACCTCGCCGTTGGTATCCCGGATCCGCCTGTTGAACTCCTTGCCCTCCAGGATTAGGAAGTCGTCGGTGGGCTTGAGGATGCCGCACTTGACAGCTATGGAGCGCGCCGTGTTGACGTTATCGCCAGTCACCATTCGGACGGTGATACCAGCCTTTTGGCATTTCCTGATCGCTTCTGGTACCTGGTGAATGGAGTCTTATTAGTTGGGGAACAAGGTTTAAAATAACAAAGAAGGATAACATGTTGGAATAAGCGTTCTATACTTTTCATAGAATATGTTTGTTTGCGGCGTTCAACCTCTTTGCACTATTCATGCGGCGCGACGTTTTAGTTTTAATTTTTATAAGGCTTCTTTTGTTTTTCACTCTTGCTTTTTCTATTGTACTGAACTGTCATGGTAATATATTTGTAAAACCATAAAAAGTGTTATAATTTAATGGCACCATTATGTTCTACGAAACATAATTTGGTGGCCCATGAGGGGTAATCAGAGAAAAAATACGAGGATGCAGCGCTTATTGGTACTCATTACCTGGTACTCATTACCTGATAAAATGTAATAATGTACGAACTTATTTAAGCAGCTAGGAAACTCTTTAATTGGCTTAGATTTAATGCTCATCAAACTAACATGAATATTGTAAAACAGCTGTTGAGTTTCTGAATAAATAAATAAATAAATAAATAAATAAATAAAAATATCATGATCTATTTAAATCATCTTTTTAAGAGCCTACAGCTTCATCATCCTTAGAGATTACACTTCTAAAAGGATCCCCTAAGAGCCCTTGTTAAAAACACCACCTTTACTAAACTAAAGATGATGAAAGTTATAGGTAAAATTAGTATAGTAATATGTGATCTAATGCTTAAAGAATTGAACATCCTTATGTAAAGTTAAACGTCTACGGCTCATTAAAGTTATGGCCCCCATAGATTAAATATAGTAACTGTGGTGTAGTTTTTTACCTCTGGTCTGACAGGATCCTCGATACCAACAACGCATAGGCAGGTCAAGTTATTCACAATATTGTCTTCGTCGTCCCAGTTTGGCTCTTGGTCTATGTGCACCTGTGAACAAACGCAATACGTTACTATGACACAAATTGTTGAATTTAAAATAAAGCTTTTAGAAGTATCTGAGACATGTATATCCGCAATATCTAAAATAAATAAATATTAAAATAGGGACATGTCACCTGTTTGCGTCTACTGATCTATTCTTGATAGAACAGAACAGAAACACCTGTCATACTTTCAGACATTTATAGAAAGCTTTAGGTATTTGTTAAGGTTTGTTATTTTATCCACAGAGGAATTTTGTATGTGGCACTTTTAGTCCTCTTTGTGCATTTTATGTTGCACAGGGATCTATCTAAATTGATGGAGAAAAAGTATCTCGTGGATAGTCCACATCTGTCCAGTGGCCTAATTCACGTATTTTAACAAAGTCGGCATTTTGTTGTCATTAAAGTTTTGTTACGTCGTCCCATTGAAAAACTGTTCTTAAGGTTCATTTCGATAGGATCGCAAGTCAGCGATTTGTTGTCGTTGAAGTTTTGTTACGAGAATAAGGCTACAGGCTATTTTTATTACGTGCAAAGTGTGTTTTTACCTGGTTAATCTCCGCCTTCCCCGGCACGAAGTCTCTGAACGCGATGGACAGCGTCCTCAGCCCATCGCAGGCCATCGGCTCGATGACTTGCCGTACCAGCCGTTCTTGCATGTCGCGCGTGAACTTTTCCAAGCGCCCTTCGTGGCCGTATATGAATGCACATCTGTTGGTAAAAGAGTTTAATGTTAATATTCAATGTCTATTTGGAGGATTATGATGTCCAGACTGGACTAGATATACAACTAACGAAAGTAGATGGAGTTACATGATGTATGAGATTCCAGCCCAGAAAAATGATACTGGTCAGCTTCGCGTTACCTGTCTGGTTTTATGATGTCTGATGATGAGTCGCAATCCGTTGGACGCTAATCATCAGACGCTTTGAACCGAGCGGGGGACAGTATAGTTTTGAGTTCATGCTATAATTGTTGCGATTAGCAGTTCGAAAGTTCTTGACATAAATGACTTTGGCCACCGTTTTGGTGGCAATATCTAACTGGATGTTTGATACTGCACAGTTAATACTGTCTAGAATCATTTGACACAATTGTAGCTCGATCCATCATAGGGTTCTTGGTGTAAATGACGCCAGAAACTTACTTTTTGGTGGCGCAATATCTCTTGAACTGGTAGGACTACCTGGATGAAATTTGTAAACGGGGTAGCTGGTATACTCCGGACAGTTCTGGAGCCGTTTCACCTAGATCTGTCAAGCAAAACTTGGGATAAAGACTCACTTCTTGAGCACGATCTCGGAGGCGCCCTTAGTGTAGAGCCGGTAGCCGCCCTTGTACGGGATCACGGTGGACATGCTCTTGCGCACGGAGTTGAAGGTGTACACGCGCGTCAGAGACTCCTCGGGCTGGCGCTCGCGGATGGCGTCGTAGCTCTGTCCTAGAGCTAGTGCGTCTTAAGCAGTTGCAATAAGAGCGATTTTGCAACATACTGGTACAGTCCGATTTCGACTGCACATTGGGGATACTTTATCTTTGGAACTAGATAACCTATCGAAATGGTATTTGGTGGGGGCACAGCTAGTGTAGGCTGGAATGACTTGACACACTTGTAGCTCTATCCATCCTAGGATTTTTGGAGTAAATGGCGTCTGAAACTTACTTTTTGGTGGCGCTATATCTCCTGAACTGGTAGGACTACCTGGATGAAATTTGTACAGGGGGTAGCTGGTATACTCCGGACTGTTCTGGAGCCGTTTCATCTAGATCCATCTAGTAACACTTGGGATATGGACTCACTTCTTGAGCACGATCTCGGAGGCGCCCTTAGTATACAGCCGGTAGCCGCCCTTGTACGGGATCACGGTGGACATGCTCTTGCGCACGGAGTTGAAGGTGTACACGCGCGTCAGAGACTCCTCGGGCTGGCGCTCGCGGATGGCGTCGTAGCTCTGTCCTAGGGCCAGCACGAAGCCGAGGAGGGAGCACTCAGTCTTGTTGCCCACTTGCATAGTGGGTGCTGTTGGGTCTAGGCCAGGCTGCGGGAAAATATTTCGCTATCAGTTATGAAGTTATAGTGCTTGCAACTCACGAAGGCGAGTGAGCTTTACTAGTGTGTGTACCTGTACATGTACATAACGATACTGTATGTCTATCAAAACTTTTGAAAAACGAACAGCGAGCCACCAAACATGTAAAGCTCACTCGCCTTCGTGAATTGCAACAACTGTAGTTAGTTGCCTCGTGGTTAAATAATTTGGACTCTTTAGATCTGCAGGTTTTAGTCACATCACTTAGTGTAGTTTTTATTAGTTTAAGAATGATATTAAAAGCAAGGTTAATTCAAATCGAAAAGATGTGATTCGTGCCTTGACTGGTAAGTTAGTCCAGCGTTGGGATAAGAGCATTATATCTGTCACTAGAGTTGTAATCTGAGTTGTATCGTAACATTTGAGAATACTCAAATCAGTGACTTGTAACATCATGTATGTATGAAATAAAGTTACTTAAAAAAACATCTAAACAGTATTTAGCTTCTCCATGCCGCTATCATTTATTTTATTTTCAAGTCTATCTATTTCTGTCGCTTATTTCGGCGTCTCACTTTTCATAAGAGGAATTGATAGATCCTAAAACTGACACTACGTATTCGTTCTTTTCCCAATAAACCCTCACTATTTATTTATTGTTGTTATCTAAATGTACGAGGGGCGGCTGAAAAGTTTTGAGCCTAAGTATCTTCAAGTGTTATTATTGACTCGGGCTAAATTTAATTAATTTGCCAATAACCTCCTTAGTATATGTACAAAGGTTCATTTCATTAGCGTCATCACGCTTTTAGTAATTAATCCGTAAACATCATCATGTCTCAGTCATCCGCGCAATGTACGAAATTGAAGTACACAGTTGTCATAAAATACCTCAAAAAGAGGAACAAAACGCTGACGGTAACATTTGAAGAGATGTCTACAGTTTATGGGGAGTCTGGGCCTTCATTTGCCACCATGAAAGATTGGATCCAATAATTCAAGCATGGCAGGGAGTCGCTAAAAGATGACCGCAAGTCAGGGCCGCCGGATTTCGCCATTAACGAATAAAATAATGAAAATTTAAAGAATCTTGCTTTAGAGATCAGCGAATTAAGCTGTGACATATAGCTGAAGCCATAGGCATTAGCAAGGAACGTATCGGCGATATTTTTCATACTCATTTGCACATGAAATAGGGGTGCGTGCGATGGGTGCCAAAAATGCTCACGCCGTTCGACAACCAGCGTCGAGTCACAACTTCGCAGGAGTTTTAGGACATCTTTGGCCATAATCCTGACAATTTTTTTTCTCACATTGTCGCTATTGATTTATTTTTATTTTATTTTTTATTATTTTTCATCGGCGACATGTAGGTGGGGCGTGCAGCAGGCCGGGGTTCGAGGGTGGAGAAAAAAAAGGTTGATGTCATTGAACGGATCACACTAGAATGTTTGGTGGCACTAGATCTATAGGGGTTCATAACATTCCAAGCATTCGTGACACGGAAATGTATTTATTAGCAGTCCCAATTCCGTGGCCACAAATGCTTGGATTCATCTAATGGATTGCATTTACAAATGTTGCTTTAAGGGAGTCATTTTAAATATGTTTTTATGAAACTCAAACGAGATTATTTTTCTTATTGGTCCCAACAAAAAATGTAACATAACTAAAAACTACGAACGAATGGAACAAAATACAACAAATTTATTTATTAAATGTGACATGCCCACAAACATGATCCAGGCTATTAGTCAAATACATAACATAAAAGGACAACGCACAAGACGGTATAATCACCATAACCTTAATAAAAATTTAGACAACTCCACATGATCCACAATAAATAAAATAATCTCATAATAAAAATATTTTGACAAAATTGGTGAAACATGGAATAACAAATCTTTTTATCCAGTTATATTAAAAGTATCTCGTTGTAATTTAGATGAGATTAATATTGCTGTAGCATGCGTATTGTCTTCGACATTTGTGTGAAATACGGGCCATTGCATGTCCGTACTTCCCAGTGGTCTTATACAAACACGGCACACAACAATATCTACCTTTATTATGCAATTTTACCAATTTAGTCATAAAAACAAAAAACCCTAGTCAGGTCGGGCTAAGGTGTGGTGTCCCGATGGTAGGGCAGGGTATAATTTCAACGTCACTGGAGCACTAGGGTATGCAATAAGCATAAAGTCAGTACTATGCTCATTTAGGTAATGCCATGTATCAATAAAATGGTTAAGTTACGTCACCCGTTTGGTTTTTTTTATATAAAAAAGGCAAATAATATGTAAACTGATTTGCAAAAGCATTGAGATTATAGAAAATAATTTCGTCGTTCGACGCCGGTAGTACATAGACAATCAGATTAAATTATGAATTGTGTCTATGTCATTATGACCTTAAGTTTAATATCCTCAAAATCGCACTCAATTTTTGTCATGTAAATAAGGAAAACCTTGTTGTGGATAAAAAAAAAACATTATTGTGTAAATAGGAATACCCATTAATTTATCAACCAAATAAAAGTTTACATACCTTATTTAAAGCGATTATATTTATGTAGATTATGCCAGGAATTTTTCCATGGACAGGATAATATCATGACTACCCATGATTCCATAAATAAGTTTCATATTTAAAAACCAAACGAGCTATGTAAAATCCCTTTACCTTTCAACTATATTTACTAATAGCTAAGCGTTATCTGAATGCATTGAATATTCTATGTTTCGGATACATTGTCAACCCTATTGAAATGGTATAAGTTTGACAATACACTAAGCTTTTCCTATTTAAGCGCTGTAGCATACATGTAAAAGCCTTACAGCTTGGACTGTTCTATTGTTCTATGGTCAGCTAAATGAGCAAAGTATTGACAATGCTAACTCTATTTTGCAGGGGTTTTGCTAGGTAAGGCGCTTTTTCTGATAATTTTATGTACAACTATGTAGTAAGTACAAATAACTAGTAATTATACTGAAAATACAGTAATAGAAAAGGGGGTTTCTATTTTCCACTTTAGATAATAATGCAACAATAATTAATTTGTATCATAATAATAATTGCTGATGACGCAATGAAATAAATGAATGGCCTCGTATTAATTATAAAGAGATTATTTTTGAAATTATCTACACGTTATGCTGAGGCTTACACGTGTTTTGATAAAAGGGATGCATTTTAAAATCAAGTTCAGTACAATTTCCATGTCAATTACTTAACTTCTTTTTATACGAGTTAAAAGCTTTAATATGGTAAAGTAAATGTTCTTTACGCAAGTTAGAGCGGATTTTACCAAAACAAACTCAAGGTACAAAATAACTCCAAAGGTACAACCCACTTACAAGGGTACAGCCCACTTAAATCAGAAAAAGCGCCTTCCGTCTATGGGGACAGTCTAACGCTACCTCAACCGGTGGTATGTGGAGGCACTGACCTTTCTTCATCTGCTTGATCTGCTTGTCCTGGTTCTCCACAGCAGCGCCCAGGAGCGTGAAGATGATACCAGCTTGAGAGTTCACACCTACGGCTGACACTAGCATTTTGCCAGAACCTGTAAATTTTGATAGGAGATTTAATTCTATCTGACATTATTTTTAATCCTTATACTTTATTGAATTCCATTTGATTGTTTTTTTTTTTCCGACGACAGACACTAATTTTATTTATTTCTTGTACCCACTTATTGCGGTTATGCGATACAACTAACGCGCTCAAAAATATCGGCTCTCTTATCTTATACAGGCCAAACTGATGCTATAAATAGCCAAGTTGACTTATCCACGCAGAATGATTTGGTCAAATCGGTCACGATCCGGTCTTACGGGACACTCACCACAATGATAGTCTTACACACACTAGCGCACTTCTTTTGTTTTTTTCTTCTCCTCTTTTGCACATCACAAGCTCAATCTAATTATACATAATATACACATACCCACAACTTTGTTCTAATTATTAATATTTTAATACGAGTATTATTTATATTATGTAGCATTTTTCATTTACTATATGAATATATTCAACAACTATTCGCACATTAT